AAAATGGTAATGATGGAGCATCATCCACAAACACTGGAAATCTCTCAGCTAATGTTGCCAATGTTGGTTCTTCTAATGACAACACCAACCAAGACCTCTACTGGTTCCCAGACTCAGGTGCAACACCATCTCACAAATGATCTTGGTAACTTGAATCTTGCCAGTGATTACTAGGGCAGTGAAAAAGTCATGGCAGCAAATGGGACAGGTATGGCAATTTCTCGTGTTGGTAATACTATGTTAAGATGCCCAGTACAAGCTCAGTCCCCAGCCTTTCTTTTAAAAAATCTCATGCATGTCCCAGAGATAACTAAAAATCTTCTTAGTGTCTCCAAATTTGCACATGATAATAGTGTTCTTTTTGAGTTTCACCCCACCTTATGTTTTGTGAAGGACCTCAAGACTGGTGCTCCTCTTCTTCAAGGAACACTTAAAGATGGGCTTTACTGCTTCAAGCTCACTACAGCACAAGACCAACCTTCCTTTTCTGTTTTACCCTCAGTTTCAGATTTCAGTTGTAATTTGGCCAGTACAAAACATGTTTTTGATCTTGATGTTTGGCACAAGAGGCTAGGCCACCCTTCTTATGATATTGTCAAAGCTGCCTTGAACAATAGCAGCATTCAATTTCTTGAAAATAAAAGACCTCTTCTTTGTGATGTGTGTATGCAATCCAAGTTTCATAAATTGTCTTTTCCTATTTCAGATCATGATTCATATGCACCTTTTGATCTTGTACACTCTGATTTGTGGGGTCCTGCACCAATAACCTCACATAGGGGCTTCAAATATTATGTAGTTTCATTGTTCATAGCACTAAGTTTACATGGATTTATTTACTCAAAGCAAAATCAGACACTCACAAGGCTTTTATCCATTATGCAGCCTTAATTAAAAACCAGTTTAATGCATCCATTAAAACATTTCAGTGTGATGGTGGTGGTGAATTCCAGGCTTTGACATCTTTGTTTTCTGATATGGGTATTCTTTCTAGGGTGTCTTGTCCTCACACCCCACAGCAAAACGGTTTAGCTGAAAGAAAACATAGGCACTTAGTTCAAGTTGGCCTCTCCTTAATTTACCAATCAAACTTGCCTCTGAAATACTGGGGTGAAGCTTTCTCTAGTGCCTTCTATCTCATTAATAGAACTCCTAACAAATCCTTAACCAACATATCTCCTTTTCAAGCTCTTCATCACCAATCACCAGACATTACTTCCCTCAGAAGTTTTGGATGCCTATGTTACCCTCTCTTGAGACCTTACAATCAACATAAGCTCCAACCTAGGAGTTTACCCTCTGTGTTCATTGGCTACAGCCCTACACACAAGGGTTACAAAGTGCTCTTGCCAAGCAAGAAAATTATTATTACCAGACACATCCTATTTGATGAAACCCAATATCCCCTATATGAACCTAAGCATGTCCATAATCCTCCACCTGTGACAACACAGCCTTGTCCTCTCTTCACAACTAATGTCCCTAACATGACTCCATATGAAGATCCTCAAAATCCTCCATCCAATGCACCACATTCTCCTATGTCTGCACCTACTCATTCAACAAGTATTTCCAGTACTCATTCCTCACCACAGCCTTCACCTCCAACCAATCAACCTCATAATTCTCCATCAAGTAGCTCTACCATACCTTCTCCGACATCTTCTCCTTCAGCTATTCCTATTGGGCAAATTATCATAGATTTACCAATTGAGAACAATGCTATGCCTCATGACTCTCATGGAGGTACTCACAACATGACAAAAAGATCTAAATCAGGTATTTTCAAGCCAAGAGCCCTCTCAACTGTTACATCTACTCATAGTGAACCTAAAACCACCACAGAGGCATTTCAAAATCCTGCATGGATTACAGCTATGCAAGAGGAGTACAATGCTCTCCAGAAAAACCACACATGGTCTCTTGTCAAACCACCACCTGACCAGCATGTTATTGCGTGCAAATGGGTTTATAAACTCAAGACTAAACCTGATGGGACCATTTTCAAGTACAAGGCTCGTTTAATAGCAAAAGGATACACACAAGATGCAGTGATAGATTACAAAAAAACTTTCAGCTCTGTTGTAAAGTTCACAACCATTAGAATTATCTTGACCATTGCTGTCTCTCTTGGCTGGATTATGAAACAAATAGACATTGATAATGCCTTTCTCAATGGTGACTTAGACAGTGACATTTATATGCTTCAGCCACCTGGCTTTGAAGTAGATTCCTCCAAAGGCCTTGTCTGTAAACTTCACAAGTCACTTTATGGCCTCAAACAAGCTTCTAGAGCTTGGTCTTCTAAACTCAGCTCCACTCTCATTTCTTTTGGCTTTACTATGTCTAAGGTAGATACTTCCTTGTTTTAAAAACACACAGGGACTGCTTCCACTTTCATCTTGGCTTATGTAGATGATATAATCATCACAAGGAGTGATTCTACTGTAATACAGTCTGGCTTATGTAGATGATATAATCATCACAAGGAGTGATTCTACTGTAATACAGTCCACTATAGACTCTTTGGCTGTTGTTTTCTCTCTCAAGGACCTAGGTCCCCTCAATTTCTTTTTGGGAATCCAAGTAGCTCACACATCCACAGGTTTGCTTCTAACTCAAACTCAGTATATAGAAGATATCTTGGACAGAGCTGGGATGAAGGGGGCCAGCAGTCTATCTTCACCAATGATCACTCATCCACCTCTATCCAAAGATGATGGGCAACCTATGTATGATGGACACCTTTATAGACATATTGTTGGTGCACTACAGTATGTTACACTAACCAGACCAGACATAGCCTTTAGTGTAAACAAAGTTTGTCAATTCATGCACTCTCCTTTAGACAAACATTGGAAGGCTGTGAAAAGGATATTGAGATATCTTGCAGGGACTAAGGATTATGGATTGAAACTGAACAGGTGCAAGAACTTTAATATTGTTGGATTCTCAGATGCTGATTGGGCTTCAAATATGGATGATAGAAGATCAACCTGTGGATTGTGCATGTACATGGGGGAGAACTTAATTTCATGGAGTTCCAAGAAACAGCATGTTGTTTCTAGATCCTCAACTGAAGCCGAGTATAGAAGTGCAGCTCAAGTGGTTTGTGAAATCATGTGGACACATTCTTTACTTAATGAGTTGAAAGCCAAATTTCAGAAACCAAGTGTAGTTTGGGTGGACAACCGAGGAGCAGTGTGCTTGGCAGGAAATCCTGTGAACCATTCAAGAACCAAACACCTTGAGTTGGATCTTCATTTCATGAGAGAAAAGATAGAAAGCAAGGTAATTTTTGTGCAACATATTCCAGCAACTGAACAAGTTGCTGACATATTCACCAAGGCTTTGACAGGGCAATTCTTTGCATATTTGAGAAATAAATTAATGTTGACTTCCAGTGCATGCATAGAATTGAAGGGGGCTGTTAAGGATGCGACAAAGCCTTGCCAGGTCAGCGAGCACGTGGACGTTGACTGCCAACGTAGCAAGACTCCCATGCATAAAGAAAGAACAGTACATGAAAGCTGTCATCGAGCTGCCCCACAATATTGTAACCCTAGGTTTAAGGTTAGGGAGAATGTATGGCCTAGGGAGTCCCACGTGTCCCATTACCCTATACCTAGCTGTGCATAGCCTTTATATAAATAGGAACAATAGTTGAGAGTAGTAGCCGCATTGAATGCTGAGAGAGGAAACATGTGAAACAAAAACTGAGATCTCGAAAGTTGAAAGAATTTCATGCACGAAAATGTTTGATCTTTATCTTGCTTCATTCATTGCTTCCATGTTATCTTTTACCTTTTCTATCACTGATGTCATGCATGGTGTTGTATATATATTGTTTTGTTGTTTCTCACACTCGGTACTAGGCGATCCGGCAGGTGCAACTGTCGGTCGCCGGTAACTAGATGACATGAATAAATTATCCAAATTAATGCATTTTCATACAGAACAAAATTAATATAAAAACAAACAACTATACATAATGATAAAATTAACATGAAATATATAAAAACGAGCAAAAGGGTCATAAAAAAAAGTCTAATTGAACTCAAACTCAAGAAGGAAAATTATGTAAAATAAAGAAACACACACACACACATAGATGTGTTTGTTCACACAAGGTTAGAATGAGATAAGTATAAACAATTTTTTTTTTTTTTTTTAAAAAACTAAACTATATCAAAGATTTAACATAAAAATTGTTCTCACATTGTAAAAAGAATTTAAACTAAAGTGTGTGTAATATAACAAAAAAAAAACAAAAAAACAAAAACCAAGTTAAAGCAAAGATAAAAAAAATAAAAATACATAAAAATGCTTGTAATAATTAATTGACCAGTTAAACAAAAAGTTAGGGTTGATATAGAGTAATTATCATTTATTGGAATACTCATATAATTTTCTTATATTAAGGTAAATGTCTGGTCAAGTTTGGTGTCAAAGAATATTTTTTCACCTTGAGGGAGAGCTTTGCCACCCTTGTGGTCCTACCTGGCTCGATTCTGGATTAGTCGGTTCCCTGTGGATCCGGAAACCGGAAGGTCCCTGTACTAAAAAAAAAGAATATTTTTTCACCAAGAATTACCATAATTTATTCATACTATATATATTTCTTGTCTCAATGGCTGAGAGCAATAAAAAAGGAGAAAAAATAGCAACCCAACAAACATTTATACTCTCATCTCCACATTCAAAAAATTTGTGATCTCTCTCATAATTTTCTTTGTGCTACAGATAACATTCGCTCAATTAAGTTCAGAAAATTTATGGGACATTGTGTTTTATATTTCTTGAGATCAACTTTATACAATTTTGTTGTGGATTTTTATTTATATATATGTTTTAATTTCAAAATATTTTTAGGGTTCCCTTTCATTTATGCATGTGCTTCTATTTTTTTTTTTCAAGAACCCTAAAAGTATTAAATTTTTTCATCTATATTTGGCATAATTAATTTAATCATTTTGGTCGCGTTCGGTTTTATACACGGTATGGCAAGGAATTGGTGGGGGAAAATGATGACTCCTATGCAAAAGGTTTGGGCAAAACTCTCTAAAAGGATTTGCTCGCGGAAAAATGGTTAGTTTTTATAATTGTTCCTTCAAAAAATGTAACAATGTATGATAGGTGCATTGTTATCGCGAGTCACGATTATGTTTTCTTGTAGGCTAATTTAAAAGTTTTCGTTGTTTTTGTTTAATGTATTCTTTTGAAATAGCTAATTGAAGTAAACATATATAAGCTACACAAAAGATGTGTGAAGCTGATCAAATCGTTTATCAATCATATTTGTCCATAGATATTATACTTTGATAATCTCTGTTAAAATGTGATATTTCAAATAAAAAAAAAATCAATAAAAGTATGAAATTAATTTATAAATATACATTTTTTTTCAAAGTACAACCAAGTTGATTTGTCTAATTAATGATTAACCGGTCTAACAACAACATTTATATTTCTACTAATATTGGTAATAATTTGAAACACATCTACAATATAGAACTGATTGACAACATTATGTGTCATTGATTTAATAAGCCATTATAAATTAGGAAAATTTCAAAACTAGTCCCACAGGTATAGGGGGTGACATTTTTTGTCTCAACGGAATTCAAAAAATATTAATAGTCCCGCAGCTTTTAAAAAATAATCAAAAGTATGACTTTTTTCAATTTTCCGGCCCGGTATGCCACGTGGCACACACGTGGCGGGACTATTTAAGATTTTATGGATTTTTTTGGGACAAAAAATGTCACCTCCCAAAACCTGTGAGACTAGTTTTGATTTTTTTTCTTGCCAGTGTACTCGCCACGTCAAATGAATGTGGCCACGTGGCATTCCGGGTCGGAAAATTGAAAAAGTCCTACTTTTGATCATTTTTTAAAAGTTGCGGGACTATTAATATTTTCTGAATTCCGTTGGGACCAAAAATGTCACCCCCCTATACTTGTGGGACTAATTTTGAATTTTTCCCTTATAAATTGGACTAATATAATGAAACCATTTATACAAAATAGTCATGTTAACATCTTATTTATATTGTTCTCCCTATGTTAAATAGTCTAACTCAACGTAAATTAATTACTATATTCTAAATTTTATAGGTATCATCAAGCTTCACCAAGATGTGAGGTCATGTGAGTATGAAGATGTACACATTTTGTGGGACATGCTCAAGAGGAAAGAGGTGGACTTAACAATTGAAAGGGAGCCTTTTTGGAGGCTCCACTGGTCGAAGTGCTCCCCTTTGCTCTGTTGTGCTGTTTGATTTTCAGGAGTTGGGTTCAGAACGTCGTGAGACAGTTCGGTCCATATCCGGTGTATTCTATGAATTAGATAAAATGACTAAAAAAAATCTTTCTTTTTTTCTTCAAATTGCATTGAATTTTTTTTGGAGTCCGAACACGAGGTCAGTTAGATGCTGTGGACGAATTACCAATGGGAGCCTTGAACAACACACGCAACACATTTTATCTCAATAACCAACTTACTTCACTGGATACATGTAGTTTGAATTGGAAGCCTCAAATATTATGTGATGTTTATGATCGTATCCATTATAGGTTCTTTGTGTGTATTTGATGCGAGGATTCTTGTTGGAGGTATAGCTAATTCATAGTGGTTTTCACGTACTATGTGTTCAAATACTTACGAATCTAATATACTTATTAATTAGGACCATATGATGAACTTCTTTGCTTTTGTTATCATTTTGTGGTGAACATTTTTGTACAAGAATCTTCTATATATGTTTATTAAATTACTATGTATAACTATATGGTATAGCTCCATCTCGGATGAACCGGGATTGACGCCTCGCAGGTGAATAGGTCGCCCGGTTTATGATTAGTCCAGGTTGGATAAACTGGATTAACAGGTTGGAGCTACTTGAGTTACTCAGCGCGATTGTACTTTAGCTGACCTATTTGACCTAGTTAGATTTAAGACACATGTACACACACGAGATAGTGGCTTAAGATACTTATTGACCTCAGTAGGTCGACCTAAGTACGCAAGGACATGTGAAGACAATTGACATGAATGTGTGAACGCAACAATATGAACCAAATAGTGTGAACACAATCAGATAAGGATGACCACAATCGGATAAGAATGAATCTCGGGCAGCCCTTGAGCAGCAAGAATTCTTGAGAACCAATGCAAATAATTAATAGAGCACGTACCAAGGTATTCACCTTATATAAATGGATAAGGTACCACTGAAAGACTCTCTCTCTATAATCTCTGAATATTCTAGGTATTATTTACTATATTTTTTCTCTGTTCAATCACTTACTCGAGCATCGTAGTGCTCACGCCGGCAAATTTCCCCGACCCTTGTTTTGCATTTTATCAACTTTACCCGGTCGGTCGGAGGCCTTCAGTCCAGTTCAACTAGATCCTCAGTTTGACACATCATTTGGCGCCATCTATGAGAATTTTCTTAAAGCAAAGAGATTTCTCACCCAAGAACAGTCGAGCTCCACCAGTCTATTAAAGAAGACAAGAGCACCGAGAAGGTTTTGCAGGCAGCAAAATGCAGCTGGTGGTGTACACAAACATGAGTGGGATAAGAAGGCCTCTCCCCAAACCAAATGATAGACTTAGTGACCAAATGATAAGTCTCACCCGATCTAAGTTGCAAAAAAAAATTCTTGGTGCAGTTGAGACGAAGTTGGGTCAGATGTAGGTTACCCGCTCAGTCGACATACATGACACACCACATAAAATAAAGGAGGATGAAGTGTCATCATGAAACAAATTACCTTCTCGCAACCCCCAAATGATGCTAATCTAGAGAGGTTATCTACACAAATTCTGGACTTACAAGAAAATGTACAGGGCAGAAGAGGATCTAGCACCAGAGGCCACCATCTCTCATAGGAGATTTTGGAAGCTGACCTGCCCCAAAGATTTAGGGAGATTAAACTCATTTATGATGGGTCTACAGATCTTTCACAACGCCTAAGAAGTTTTGAAAATATGGTTGTGTTTTACACGTACAATGACTCAGTTTGATGCACTGTTTTCTTAGCAACACTATGAATTCCAGTGCAACATTGGTTCCATCAACTCCCACCTAGATTGATTTATGATTTCGATGCATTCAGTTCAAGCTTAATCAATTAGTTTTCGAGTATAAAAGCACATGAAAAGACATTTTTTACTTTGATAGGGATATAACAAAAGGAGATCGAGTCACTGAGAGACTACGTAGCTCGATACATGAGAGCTTGTGCAGATGTACCCTCGACGTATGAGAAAATTAAGGTGGGAGGTTTTGACACGAGGATTAAAATCGGTCTTTGCATGAACTCTTTAGCCAACTGACTTGTTAAGACCTTTGAAGAGGTACCAGAAATATGTGCCAAATACATAAATGTGTAGGAATTGGAAGCCTATTTATTATAGCCCTCAACTAGTTAAAGTGGAGACACGAGAAAAGAGAGAGTGAAAGTGAGAGAGAGGGAGAGAGAGAGAGAGAGAGTGAGAGGGAGAGAAAGAGAAGAAAGACATAGTCATTTGAAGGATATGAAAGATAGGAGGAGGTCAGACTGGTGGGAAGGCAGATCTTTTAAGGGTGGGCGGAGTTACAAGAAATATATGCCATTTTCAGTTAACTGGCTTGAGTTTTGGAAGTTATGGACAAGAACGTCCATGAGAGTTTGTTGACTTAGCCTAAAACTAGAAAGGATGGATCAACGCGACCTAAGAGCAATTTTTATGGTCATTTTCACAAGGGTTATGAGCATACCACGGGTGATTGTAGACACTTGAAGATGAATTGAACACCTGATAAGGGTCGGGCACCTAAAAAAATTCATTTACAAGAACAAGAAGAGAGGTCCAGGTAGGAGAGAGGAAGAAACAAGAGACCCAGGTCGCCCACTGATAGAGACGAGCTCCTACCAAAAAGAGGATTCGTTCATATCATATCGGAAGGACCTACAAATGAGTACTCTAATAAAGCTAGAAAATCATACACCAGAAGTCTGAAGCTAGAAGTAAATTATGCCGACACACAAGTACATGTGGCAAAATTTTGGACCAGCTAATGCACAAGAAATACAGTGCCCACATAATGATGCACTCTTGGTATCCACAGAAGTCACTGAGTATGAGGTGCAGTAAGTCTTCGTTTACACGAACAACATAGTCGACGTCATCTATTATAGTTTCTTTAAACTAATGGAATTAGAGGTAGAACTTAGGGTGGTGGATACACATCTTTATGTCTTCAATGGTTCGTAGGTTGCTCTGGTAAGAGATTTACACTACCCATGGTGTTAGGCAAAAAAAACACTAAGGAGGTAAACATGGTGCAATTTTTGGTAGTAGACATCGACTCAGCCTATAATTGATCTTAGGATGACCTGTGTTGAACTTGTTCCAAGCTATTGTGTCAACCTACCATACGAAGCTAAAAATTGGAGATTTGGTCGGTAAGCAGAGGGAGACCAGAAGCTACCATGATCTTACTACTAGATGGCAGTACGTGCGAATGATCGAGATGCTATTAGAAATATGAAACAACATGTGATGGGAGAAAAATAAAAACAAAGTGATGATATGGAACCTCATGAAGAGCTATTTGAAATTCATGTAGAAGAAACCTCTGACCAAAAGACAGGTGAGAAAAGATATGAAAGAGGCTTTGAAAAAAAAACAGCTAGTAAGATTTTTCAGAGAATACAAAGATATTTTCTCTTTTGCTATAGAGGAATTGACAGGTATTGATCCTGAAATCGTAGAGCACTTACTCAAATTGGATCCAACAAGGAAACAAATAAATCATTGTCGTTCGCATCATGGGGTAGATTTAGATAAAATAAGTTTGTGACAAAGTGAACAAACTGCTATCAGCTGGACATGTTAGAGAAGTACAGTTTCCTGAATGTTGTCAAATATAGTGATGGTTAGAAAAACCATAGATAAATGGCGTATGCGCATTGACTTCATAAATCTAAATTTGGCATGTCCTAAGGATCACTACACATTACTGTGGATCGACCAACTTGTAGATTCAACCACTGGATGCGAGTTGCTAAGCATGATGAATGTGTCACTAGGATACCACCGGATATCACTAGTACCTGAAGACTAGAGTAAAGTAAGCTTTATAACTAAAAAAAGGAACATATTGCTACGTGGTAATTCCATTTGGACTGAAAATGCGGGCATGACCTATTAGAGGCTCATGGATAAGATATTCCACAAACAAATAGATCGCAATATGGAGATATATGTGGACTTGTGATTTCCATCGTTTTTATATTTTATTTCTCAATTCTTATTTTTGATTGAATGCGAGTTTCATTATTAAGTAACATGGAATTCAATCAAGCATGTGTCAACTCATTCACACAGAAATATGGATTTTGATTCTTATTTAAATTTGTGTTAAATATGCGGTAGTTCATGCCTATTCGAATTGCTTAATTATAATGATTAGTCAATTGATCACCATCTAATCTAAATAGATAACCTAGAATTTGGAAGGAGATAGGTTATCAGATCATGGCTTGAATGGGGTAGATATGTTTGTAACTATAAACAATATGTGTTCATTGACTGAAGTACGTGTTTGTCTTTCTCTGAACTTATGTTTGTAAAAGTATCAGGGATGGATCTCTGGCTTGTGTGTATGTATTATTTATTTGTTTATGTTCGATCACATATTATAAAAATTAATGGGAGCGAACAAACAAGGCATTAGGTGAGAGCCTCAGTCTTTAGACTGAATAATTTTACTTACAACTTAGATTTAGGACTTGATGAAATTATTCCCGACTCCTTCGACCTTCATCTATTACTCTATTTATTTTTTAAATATTTATATATGTTCTTAGTCATTGGGAGTTTTCAGATTAACTATTCACAAAAATCGTGATTAGAATGTTGAGGACTTTATTTATTTTTGTATATGATTAACACCGAATCTAGATTTCAAACCACCTTCCTCGATAGATCAACCCGAGGTCAAAGTTCATTCTGCACGCGATAAAAATAATAACTTGCTACAACATTTATAAAAAATTTTGGTCCTGATTTTATGTGTTGGCTATGAACCAAGTTCCATTATGAAAGCTTTGTCTACCACATATGGATCACTTTGGGAAAAAGCTATAAATAGCGAAACCCAGTCCAATATGAAAAATCATAGTTGGGAGATGGTTAATATCTATCCAGGTTGTAAATCTTTAAGATGCAAATGAATCCTAAAATAGAAATACAAAGCTGATAGGATGAGTGATAAGTTTAAACCATGGCATATGGTTAAAGGCTTTAAACAAAAAAAAAGGTTATGCCTATTTTTATACACATTCCCTTGTTATGAGTATAGTATCGATAAAAGTGATTCTTTAGATTGCTGCTTTGCACAATCTTGAGATTCACCAAATGAATGTCATGACGACATTTTTGAACTGTAAATAGAAAGAAGAAAATCACATGGAATAAGTCAAGGTTTATGTAGCACCCGGACAAGAGAAAAATGTGTGCAAATTGATCAATCATTGTACGGACCAAAATAAGCTTCGAAACGATGGCATTTGGAATTTGATATGTGATGTTGTTAAATGGTTTTATAATCAATGAACTTGACAAATGTCTTTTTAAGAGTACATCAAATAAATTTGATATTGTATATATATATATATATAGACGGTATGTTGATCACAGACAGTAGCTATGAAGTGATCATGAATACGAAAAGAATGTTGGAAAAAAAAGACATGATATGAGTATAGATAATGTAATTCTTGGAATAAAGATTATCAGAACCCAAGATGGAATTGTCTTGTCACAATCTCACTATGTAGAGAAAGTGCATGAGAAATTTAATTTCTGTGAAGGTCTATTGTCCATAACACCCATTCTTCTTAGCTTAAATCTGGTAGCTAATAAAGGAAAATCGATAGCTCAGTTAGAATATTTACATATAATAAGGAGTTTGATGTACTTAAAGAATTTTCTACAACTAAACTTATCTTATTCTGATGAATAAAATGAGCAAATATACGAGCAATTCAAGTCATGAGAACGAAGTGCTTTGAAAAAGGTACTAAAGTACTTAGAGTACACTCATGAGTATGGGCTAAACGAATTGAGAAACTCACATGGAATTTGTTAGTAAAATGGACTTCATCCGGGCTTCTTCAACTCGGACAGCCTCCGTACCTACAAGAACTCAACGCCAAGAGGGGTTCCAGCGTCGAGCCTCTGATGCCTAAGTCAGCACTCGCCAAAGATAAAGTGTAATAGGAGAGCATAGTAATGAGTGTAGAGAGAATGTGCTTTTGTGATACCTTAGGCCCTTTTATGGGGCCGGGAGGGGGGTACCTTAGTGCCCAAGTTTGGCTTGAGAAATACCATTATGACATGTGTGATTTATTCCCGAGTATATTTTATCTTATCCATTAATCTTTCTTGTACGGCCGATTACTTGGGTACAATCGGTCTAGTATGATATTCCATAAATCGAGCAGGTCGATGGTTTTTACTTCATTTGGTTTTATGGAATTTGTTTTTATACCTCAATGGCAGGTCCATGGAGTTCACTTGATGCAATTCACAGAGCTTATTGGTAGACCTCGGTGGCAGGTCGATGGTTTTTAGTTGGATTGTTTTATTGAGTTTGTCTTTTGACCTCAGCGGTAAGTCGATGGAGTACACTTGGTGCAATTCACGGAGCTTATTCGCAAACCTTGGTGGCAAACCTCGAAGGAAGATCCATCACTTTCAGCCGTCGGAGGTAGGTCAATCGACTAGCACGATTGATTGAAAAAAGAAAAAATGGCAAGCACATGATATATGATATGATAGGAACAATGCACGATGACAGTATGGTAGACGAGGGGGTTTCGTTGAAAAGACACATGAATTGAGAGGATAAAAAACATGGTTGAATTGCAAATTTTGAATTGAGTAGCGATAAGACGAGGTGGTCGAAAAGGCTTATCTCTGAGCGAAGAGAGCTCGAACATTGTGGTTTAAGTACAACAGACGTGAGTTGAAATTTTGAAATTTAATAATTCGGGGAGAGGTCAAGGAATTCTATCAAAGTATGAAAGTCCAAATAAGCATATTGAGAGATATCAAAAGAAGGTCAACATAGCAAAATGAAGAGCAAAGGAATCTACTATAGGAATCAAGGTTCGACCTGAATGTAGCGTCAAGTCATTTGGTATTCTACCTCAACGGCAGGTAATTCAGTTCTCTACCTTATCGGTAAGTTATTCGGTTATCTACCTCACTGGAAGGTCATTCTATATTCGACCTCAGTAGCAGGCATTCGGTTTTCGACCTCAGTGAAAGATCATTCAGTTTTCGACCAGTGGAAGGTCATTCAATTTTGGACCTCATCGGCAGGTCATTAGGTTATCTACCTCACTAGAAAGTCGTTCGATTTTAGTCGTTCGATTTTCGACCTCAGTGGAAGATCATTCAATTTTCAACCTTAGTGGAAGGTCATCCAGTTTTCTATCTCTTCGGCAGGTCATTCTGTTATCTACCTCACAGGTGGGCCATTCGATTTTCTACCTCAATGAAAGATCATTCGGTATTCGACCTCATTGATAGGTCATTCAGTTTTCAACCTTAGTGGAAGTTCATTCGACATTCAACCTCATCGGCAGGTCATTCAGTATCAACCTCAGTGCAGGTCATTTGGTAATCGACCTTATTGATAGGTCATTCAGTTTTCTACTAATTGTCAGGTCATTCGGTATTCGACCTCATCAAGTAGTCATTTGGTTTTCTACCTTAGTGGCAGGTCATTTGGTTTTTTACCTCGGTGACAGGTTGTTCGATTTTTTACCTCATCGACAGGTCATTCAGTTTTCAACCTTATCGGCAGTTCATTCAGTTTTCGACCTTATTGGCTTCAATTTTCGACCTTAGTGGAAGGTCATTCAGTTTTTGACCTCAGTGGAAAGTCATTCGGTATTCGACCTCATCAACGGGTCATTCGGTATTCGACCACATCGGCAGGTCATTCAGTTTTCGACCTCAGTGGAAGGTCATACAGTATTCGACCTCAGCGGAATGTCATTCAGTTTTCGACCTTATCAGCAGGACATTCGATATTGTCTCATCAGCAGGTGTTTCAGTTCTCTATCGCATAGGCAGGTCATTCGGTGACACTAAAGATCTTTCGGTGTTCATTTGGTGGTCATCAGATTCATTTGATGGTCATTCAGATTACTCAGATATGCAGATCATGCTATATTAATTTAGTAACACTTGGTGGTCGAGGATTTGTTCAATTTATAGTCTCAGTGGCAGGTTGAGGGTTTATTCAGAAGGCGAAAATAACCAGAAGATGCGTTTCACTCTTGGATTGAGTTATTCTTATTGCACTAGAGTGAGGAGGACCAGATGATATGAAATATCATACTAGACTGGTTTTACCCGAGTAATCTGTCGTACAAAAAAGATTAATGGATAAGAAGGAATATACTAGAGAATAAACATACACATGGGGCTATGACACATGTCATAATGGTATTGTTTAAGTCAAACTTGGACACAAAGATACACTCCTCTTATAAAAGGGGTCTAATGTATCATTAATATACTCTCTTATTGCACTTTATCTCTGGTGAATGTTGACTTAGGCATCGGAGGCTCGACGTTGGGACCTCCCGGCGTTGAATTCTTACAGTTACGGAGGTCGTCCGAGTTGAAGGAACTCGGGTAAACTCCATTTCACTAACATTGGCGATAGTCAGATCGAAACCAATTTTTTTATTAAAAAATACATTTTAGAAGTACAACATTCAAAATCCATGCTCGTTGATTGGAATTTTGGATCATGAGGAAGTTCAATGATATAGTTTGTACCTTGGCGATTCATGTGCATAGACTTCTTCAGAATTTCGAATCATCAGGAAGTTCGACGATATAGTTTCTACCTCGGCAATTCATGTGCAGAAACTTCACCGGTAAAATTTTTAAAGATCCATAATTCACTTCGTCTAACTAACGTGTATATATATATATATATATATATATATATATATATATCATTGAATTTTTCTTATAAGAAATAATTTTTCCAATATATTTTGATGTAATTTAATAGCTAGATATTCAATAATCTTCCATCCACTAATTGAAAATATCAAAATTCAATTTCAATAATTTTATTTATTTATTTTATTTTATTTTATTTTTTTTTTGGTGTTTTTGTCGTTATCGGAGGCCAAACCTCTTTTAGAGACTCGAATTCCACCGCGCTCCAACATTTAATTCTCGCAATTTATTCCTCCTCTGTGCTCTCTGCATTTTCTTGAGACCCAAAATAAAAATGGAAAATAAAAAGAAGGAAAAAACCAGAAACAAATAAAATAATGAACATTAAATCTCCTGAGGCGACAGCAATGGCCGTGATAATGAAACCCATTTGATCACCCATCATGACTCATCACTGCAAAGATACATATATGCCTTTCAATATTTCATTTCAATTTTTTTATTTTTTTTTATATTAGAATATTTACTCGTGAGTTGTTGTGGAAAAAAATCTCGACTTTACTGATGGATTGAGTTTGTTATTTAAGTGGGTTTTTTTATATTCTTGACTAAAAAAAGTGTAAGAGATAAAAGGTTTTTTGTTGGCCCTTTAGAAAAGTTGGTTAGTAATGAAGGCTTTTGGATTCTTGTGCTTGTTCTTGCTAATAGGGACAGCTGCTTTTATGTACTCCAGCAAAGGGGGCTCCAGTTTTAATCCAGGTAAAATTTCATTGTGTTCTGTTTTTTTTTTTTTTTTTTTTTTTTNNNTTTTTTTTTTTGTGATCGGTAAATGTAAATATATAGATCAAAAATGAGTTCGGACAACCGGAAGTCGGGGAACAAAAAGCAAAATGGGCAACCACATATTTCATTGTGTTCTGTTTTTACTTTCAAAAGAATTAAATGATTTTGTTGCTTAAGGAAGAAAATAGGGCTTTGAGCATAAATGTAATTATCTATTAAAGGGGGAGAAATTTGCTGTACTGTTAGTGTTATTATGGCTGCTTCAAAAGATAAATGAACAATCTGAATTTGAAGACTTTAACATTTAGGAATTTGCAAACTGTTGTGTATGTTGACTTTTGGGTAGTCTTCAACATACATCTTCTTAGTGTGTGTGTTTCTTTGTTTTTATGTCAAATAGGTAATGATGCCGTGACATGCGTAGTGAAAAGCAGAAAGCTCACGGTACGAATTATCGACACTTTTCGTTCATCGGCTCGTTTTTTTTCGATGTTCTTGTTCCCCACATTTTGCAGGCTATTGTTGGCCAGCATGGCCTGGACGAAGATGATGGAGGAAAAGTGAGTTTGGAAGATTATCGGCCTATCGACCCTGCCCCAAGCTCAAAGGCATCAATTAGACCGGCACCTGTCCAGCACGGTTCTCCTCTATTGCCTTACATCCCAAAAACTTGTCCTCCTCCAAAGCACGGTGGGTAATGTACTTTCTTGTTTACTCTCTTTTAAATAAACTGATCACGACATGATGATTTTCGCCTCTATGTAATAAGTATTTTTAGTTTGTGAGAGGAAGATGATATTTAGCATTCGTATGTCGGTGTGTGTTGCTATGTCTTCGTTTATTCGTACAGCTAATGAATTGAAGTGTGGAAATCATTGTATCTTTTTTTCCTTTGTATTGTTTTCTTGCTCATGGTCTTCCAAATTTAGGGTAATAATTTCCTTTTTGGTTGGGGTTGTGTAATCGATCGGGAGCATATATCTAATCTCTTGTTTCACTTGATATTCGTGCTTAGGGCCTCTATGGAGATTTCGATGTTGTCCCTAAGGGCAGTGTCCTCATCCCATGCCTTCCCAACCCTTGATTTGCACACACATATGCACACAACCATATGGGTATGTGTGAGATCAAGGGCCGAAAGGCCCAAAGGGACACTTGCAATTCTCGGCCTCCGTTATATTTTTGAAGTTATGTGTTACTTTTTCTACTTGACCCACTAAGGTACCGATTTTAAGTAAATTGGAAAACATGGAGACTTGAATATTCGAAGAACTTTTATCATGATTAAATAACATTAAAAAAACTTGGACACTCGGAGTATATCAAGAATTTATATTAATGTTTTTCTATGTTTGGTTCAGTTCATTATTGGAGGGGAAGGGAGGAAATTTATCCACATCTATATATTCTATATAGGATTGTGCTCCGGTGAGATTGATGTTTAGTGAAAAAAATAAAAATAACTCTTAGCTATCAGTTCCGGTGATCCAACAACCAAAATTTTATAGTTATTAAAGATAATTTAGACATTATCATTACCCATAACTAGCTACTACCTAGTGGGTCTCACGCCACATCACCACCCACACAACACACACATACAACACACACACAACACATACATACACACAGAGTACCACATACGCACAACACACGCAAACACACACAACACGCGCACACACGCACATACAACACACACATTAGTGGCACACACACATATACACATAGTAACACGCTGGCTCTGCCCCGATGATGAATATCGTGTATCGTGATGATCGGTTTTTGCGTCAAAAGATGCTAGGAAAACCTCCTTCTCGACGACAAGTTGCTTCAAGGGTGCTAAGGCACATCCTTTTCAGCGTGTGGATGACGTAGCTTGGACATGAATCCTTGCCAATTCGAACTCGTGACGAACGATTTAAAAAATGCCTCTTCGACACAAGGATTTTGTGGAAAAACTCAAAGAATTTTAACACAAGGAGTTGGTGAACAAAGTTCAATTTTTATTGCTTAATCGATGCTAAAAAACTTGCATAACATCAAGTATCTAAATGGAAAAACTTAGCCTAAACATATGTGAAATAAACTACTAACTTATGGAAAATAAATCAACTTAAGGATCTTAAAATTACGCAACTTATTTAAAGCCTAAATAACCTAGGTAAGCAATTAAAATCATGTGGAAATATCCAGGAATAATTTAGAAAAGATTCAGCTTAAAAAGCCTTCTAGAAGTCTCGGTTTATTGGTCGTCAAGTCGAACCCCCGCTGCCCTTGCACGCGCGTGCTGGTCGTGTCGGGCGTCTCCTGCTGCCCGCGCGCGCTCGAGAAAGTCGCATTGCGTGCCTTGCGTGTCCCGCGTCCATGCACGCAACTATCTCGCTCGCCTTGGTGGCCCGTCGAGCTACTCTCTTGCGCACATGATAGGCCTAACTCAACATGAGAATAAAACATAGAAAAAAACAAAATACATAAATCACATAAAAATCACAAACAAAACCTAATATCTAGACTAAAGCCCTCTCCACGGACCACCTCCACACGAACCAGCACTCAACCCCGAACAACCAAAGACAGCGATATGGTCCGCGGCCCAACACGCAGAACCTATAAACTCCCCCTTACAAATAACTAAATCCGGTTACAACGGACCAGAAGCCCTCCCAACAGTAACCACAAAGTCGGCTCTGGGAGACCACCACCACAACCCTCCCCATGCAAAAACCAGGAGTTGCAGCATTGCCGCACTACCACCACCGGATGAATCCGCCCTCCCGAAACGAAAAAGAGGAAGACCAAGGCGAAAGACCTCAGCACCGACCCTCGCAAGACAGCTGCAGCGTCCCGCCACCACGAGTCGACAACCCCCTCCTCCGCCACGGCCACCAGAAGCTCGACGGGACGGAAGAAGTTAAATTGCCTAGGAAATTGCGGCCAACCTGGAGCCGGCCCCGGCGCCGGACGACGCTAAAGGGCAGAGAGTCGTTGGACAATGGAGAGCCATTGGTACATGGACGGCAGACAACTATGTTAAAATTCAGGGATTTTTTTTCTTCTAGTCGAGGAGAGAGAGGGGGAGGGAGAGCGATTGTCCCCTTCTATAAAGCGGAAATTTTTGCTAGTTGACATAATTTGTCCTTTCAAAAAATAAACAAAGTTTCATATCTTTAATCCTAAGAATAAATTCCACAATTGACTTAACAAAAAAATCTGTTTTTTCTGGTTACCTACAACTAGTACAAATCCCGTGCGTCGTGAGATAATCATTAATATTAATAAATTAAAAATGCTCGTTAAATAATAGTTATAAATTAAAATCATTGAATGGATATGTAATACAATTTATTTATGGATATAAGATATCTGTTAATACTTATAAATTATAAATACTCATTTAACAATTTCAAAAAAATTGGGAATCAATTTATAATAAAATTTACCTATAAAAATTTATTGAAAATGTTATATGAAATTTAATTTGTTCAAGATTACATGGAACATGTCTATCTAAAATTAGTATACAACCTGTATGGTGCACGTAACTGAAAATAAATTACATTATATTCATTTCAAAATAAGTTTTATTTTTAAAAGTTTTATTATGAAATTTGATTTGACTACAATGTGATTCCATAAAATAAATATTTTGGTAGAATTTTATAATATATTTAAAAATCAATGGGAATAATAAGTACAATTATAAAACTTATATTGTGTTATTAATTAATATGGGTTTATTTTTTGTATAAACTATCCAAATCAAAAAACTTAAGTAGTTGAGAAATTTATTAAACTATAAATAATTGACTATTCTATTTATGTCCAAGTTAATAGAGACCCGTAAATTATGAATTTTACTTATTTAGCTTTTAAAT